AAAAAAAAAAAAAAAAAAAAAAAAAAAAAAAACACAAAAAACCAACCTCTCTGTCAAATGTTAGTAGTTTTAGGTCCAAGTTAAAATAGGTCCTCGTTAAAAATAATACGTTCCATACTACCGAGTTGTACGTAACGTGCATTTTAAAGAGAAGGTAGTCTGCAGGCTTAAAAACAAAGAGAGTGTCTCAAAGTTAAGTAGATAAGAAGATTTTTTTCTTTTTCCCAAACCCAAGTTAATTAGCTAGTACGTCAAGCCTCATAGATGTCTTCCTACCTTTCAAGGGCTGAAGAATCCCCAGTAAATGTACTTAAACTTCCTAGCGAGGGCCAGTGAGATGAATGCAGAGATTAGGGCGAGTATTACCGTGCCTTCTCAGTGCATCCCAGCTGCAGTTCATCCTACTATTGATAATGATGCTTGGAGTTACCGAGGTGGTTTCTGAAACTCACATATGGGGTCCTTTCCCCAAGGATGAGGAATAATAGCAGCACTCAGGTGACACGGGGAGGGTCAGAACACATTTGCAGTTATCTTTGCCTGGTGCGTGGTGACTTTTCCATTGCTCTGATTTAATAAACTGAGAGGTACATTTAGGACAAGGGCTGTAATTCTCTAATACAGTGGGAGGTTTTATTTGGTTTCTGTTAACAAACAGGGAAATTTAAACAAACAAATAAAAAAAAAATGCACAGGTGAAGGGAAAAACGTCTGGGCTTGTTGGAACCCAGCCCTGGCAGAATGCTGGTGCAGTATGAAACGTTTTGTGGCCAAACTCTTAGCAATTTCTGTAATACCACAACTTAGCATATTGTATGCTGCATTGAAATGGCTGGGACTTTGTTTTTGAACTTCTTCGTTTCTACTGTTACATTAAACTTGCAGCATCTTGAATTACTTAGCTACACCCAGATAGAAAGTTACAGCTTCTTTAGCTCTATGTGCTGCACCAAGCTGTTACTGCTAAAAACTACCCATCAGAGTGTAAAAGCCATTTCCAGCCCTTTCCTGTATGTTTTCCGTCGTAAGTCAGCCTTTAAGATACTATTCCGAGACAGTTTATTATCTCACAGGACTTTATTTTTTTTTGTTTTTAATTAGAGAAAGGAAATGCCTTACACACCTTTCTCAGGCAGTCTTTGTGGAGCTGGTTCCACCACCAGCAGAGATAGTTTGCCACCGTGCGATGTGTTTAATCCGCTTACGCTGACACTACAGGAGTGAAAAGCAGGACAAAAGACACCTTCTGTCACTGCAGTTTGCAAAAATTCATAAATGTGAAATACACACCATCCCAACTTGGAAAAAAAAAAAAAAAGAGGGTCTTGTGTGCCAGCTTCAGATAGTCAGGGATGCATTCCTGCATAATACT